GGGTTAGGGTTAGGGTTAGGGTTAGGGTTAGGGTTAGGGTTAGGGTTAGGGAGTAGCCGAGTAGGCGTAGGTGACTCCCTATAGACTCGTTAGTGGAGGAGGCGAGGTACGGTCCGGCATATTAGATAGTACCAGGGTACGTTCCGGCAGTACCCTGGGGGACATAGACCCTATGAGCGTAGCTTAACGTAAAATACCTATAAAGCGTTAAACAAATGCAAGGCCATAGTGCACGTTTGTAAAAAAAACACGCTGTTTAGTTTTAAATTTTAAATAAAAAAAATAAAAAAATAAAAAATAAAAAATAAATTAATTAATAAGTAAAAATAAAAATTTAAATTAAAAAAAAGATTAGGGTGTTAACCCCCGTCGTATCACTAACGTAGCTGGTTTTTAACAGAACCTCTTCTAAAGTAGGGCGAACTTCTATCTGTAATACACTATCGACGGACATCTGTCTTCGGGGGCAGGGGGGATTTATAATAATCACGTCTTTTGTGTGATATTCTATCGATAAAACTCCCACGATTACAACTGTTGCTCTTGAGAAAGGAAATCGCAGTTACCTACCAGAATGCGTAGCTCGCCCGACCACTGCACTCTGCACCTCACACCTACACACCCGTCTATATATACACGTCTGTTTCACAGATTTCTTTAATTCTGCACTAATAGAATACGTACTGCATCTGCTATAACGGACTTGATGGCTCATCAGTAAGCCGTGTGAGCGACTTGACATAACAATTCATCGCGGAATCGCAAACAACCTGAGCGATGACACGGGTAATTACACCAGACAGGCTCGCGTTTGTTCGGCATCACTCCTTGCACACACTGTGAAGCTGATATATCGAAACGGTTCTACTCCAGTTGGTTCCCACCTCTGTCACTAAATGTCGCGTCTCATATAAAAACATAACGTGCGCAATCGAATTAGCAATCAACACCATAAAAAAACAAGCAAATGTGTTCACAACTGGAACACGGTGTTACAAGCACCGAGACGGGAGCTGTTTGCGTCATCGCTTGTCAGCTGCTGCGGTTAGCTGATAGAGGAAAGACAGCTAATGTACACGCGCACCTGGCCACGTGTGACCCATATATCCGAAGCCATTTCCGGTAATGCGACGAGCAAAACTCTTGCAGTTAAACTTAAAACGTTATTTCATTAATAACAGCCATGGATTTCGGGGGCGTAGCTAACTTATTTTACCCGGGAGGGGGAGGGCAGCCTGTTCTGCTAGCATCTATGACAAATACGACATACGCATTTACGCTCTCCTATGACACTATTTGTCATATGAAGATTTTTCCTATGACAAATATTGTTGTATGTGTTATGCGTGTCATATGAGTTTAGGAGCGCTATTATGAACGCAAGCAGTGAAATTCAGCTGTAAAGGGGAACGAAGTTGACTCGCCAATATTTGTCATAGGAAGAATCTTCGCCAATAGCGTCATAGGAGAGCGTATATGCGTATATTGTCATAGATGCAAGCAGAACATGTTGGGGAGGGATCCCCGCGCGGGTTGTGTTCTGGGCAGTTGAACGTGGGCGGTTTTCCATTACTTATTGATCATGTAAAGGCATCTTCATTGGCAGTGGGGGGCAAGTTACTCCCTTAATTTGCTACCCACCGCTAGCCACGTTGGTACCGGATCCAGATGAGAGACCGGATACCAGAGAAGCGTCGCCTGAGAGGTGTTGATCCTGCCCGCTAAGCGCGGATCTTCCGCGTAGTTCCGCGGCAAGGCGCACGCGACCGCGGGAACGTCCTACGAAAGTATCACGCGCTGGCAGCTATTGATCCGTGCGCCAAATCGAAAGGCCG